ACGCGGCCATTTTTTTCCCGCGGTTTTCTTTCGCGTCACGCGCGACGGACTATGCGAAAGAGGGACTACTCGTAGTCTAGATTCATTTGCCTGAAAAGCTCCATTGGGGGAGTGGTCAATTAAGATATTTTGTTTTTTTTTTTAATAACTTTGGCGGTTGGCTTGAAGACTTGTTTGTTTTGTTTCCTCAGGTCTTCGTCCTGCGCGATAAAGATTCTATTCTCATAAAGGCAGGAGTGATACCAGAAGAGATAACAAAACACCGACAGCAGTTTCTTAGGTGTGAAATGAGGCGCAGTTTTAATAGAATTCTCTCGATTTAAGAAAACGGAAATTCTGAACATTGTTTTGAGTCGAGAACACTTTGAAACCCATATCGCGTACTTATATCCTGAAGTATTCACCTATTTATTATTACCTCACCATGCAAATTATTATCATTATATGTTTTCAAATGCTTTTAAAATGTATACATTTTATTACATTTTAATTTATTGGTAGGATGCTCGAAACCGTATCTGGAGGAAAAGCGTTTATCAAATATCTACAGCAAGAAAATGGCGAAAACGCGTAAGTACTACCAAATCAGTATATTGGACAACACTGTAAATAGTGTACTGTAAATCGAGTATTGCAATGTGAGTGGTGAAAATAATTTAATTTTGTAAAGTAAGTATGTAAGTGTGTATTGAATGTATTTAAGTTATTAACCAAAAAAATAGAAGAGAGCAAAAACAAAATATATATGTATCGGACAACACTCGACACTTGATGATATATAAGTGTAAAGATTAGGAGACCGATCAATTTGTTGGTGTTGTTTATCTTGTTCCAACTTCAAAAGTAATGTGCTTTTAAACCTTCATTCTACGAAAGCTGCTCATAAAATGAACGAGGGAACCTGATCCTAGTGCCTTGTTGTGTTGCAGGACTGTGGTGACTTTTCACGTGGTGAAAGATAAGCAAGTGATGCCAGCCACTGAAGTTATAAGGTACAAAGTAACAAACGTTTTATAGTAAGACCTGTTGTTAAAAACAACAGAAGTGCTTGCTCATGATGTTTTTAGTTATCGGTGTCGTAGATAAAGTGCATCCTTACATGACATCATACGATGAAAAAAAATGTTCGGCCATGAGACCAAAGAAACCCCGTTGAAGAGAAATTTCTTGAAACTGGCGCCCAGAAATAAATCTTGTTGAAATCAATAACTGAATCAAAACCGAAGCCACGTCAACTATGGTTCCGATGACATTAAACTGAATCGCACCACTCCTGCAGCAATTGCAATAACGATTGTTACATTTGCAGATTTAAAATCATAACATCTTTGTTATTTTTAGTTCTTTGTCAGACAATAAGGAACTATTGGATAGTACTTACAAACAGTTTAATATCCAATGGTACCAGCTCCCCGACGGACCGTCATCTCCTGAGGCTCGAAAGGGGACTGAGAACGAGTTATCCGCTGTGGTTGGAGCAATGATTTGTCTTGGTGTAATTATTGGGGTTGGAGCAATAATTATGATAATTATATTGATCATGTGAGTGTTTTTCAATTATTAACCATGCATAACGTGATGAAAAATTATATCTTCCTGTTGCCCAGTGTTAATAACAAACATGAAAAACGAGCGTAACACAGAATATTTCTACTTGTTCTACGGCTCGGGTTTACCAACTTCCAAAACCATGCAGTCCCTTCTAAGTTGAAAATCCCCGTAAATTGGTCGGTGAAAGAGTGCTCATTCGGTTACTGATCCAAAATAGTCTAAAATGGTCCAAAATGGTACAGAAAACAGGCATTTCATGCAGTCTTATCTTCCCCCCTCGCAAAAATATAAAGGCATTTAAAAGGGTACAGGATCACTTAACCCACGCACTGAAATTACAATACAGCGTTAAGTGGAGCCGGTTGTAGCGTGAATTGAAACAACATAAAATGCAATGCTAGTTCTACGAGGTTTTAAAGTGGTGCAGATCAGGAGCTGTTGAAGTATTTTTCTCCTAATCGAAATGTTCGCCATTGTTTATATCTCGTGCGAATTTTTCTCAACAGTATGAAAATTCTCTCTACTGCCTCAAACACATTTTGTAACATTAGTAATGATTTAGAACTAAATTCACTCTAAAGTTTTTTTGTGCGTTTCTTTCAGGAGAAAACGGAGAGGTCAAAGTCCTTTCAAGAAAAAGAGAAAACCAAAAGTGACTTTTAATGACAAACCCTTCTTGTAAGTAATAACAGGCAGCCGCCAGTTTTATTTCGATTTAAACAGCCTCTAGACCGGTCTAGTTGTTACAGTAACCGTGAGAAAGTTATAAACGAAAAATACAAAAGCATTTGGCCTGACCGTCTTATGTCCAAATTTTTCATCTTCATTCGCAACCATGTTGACAGCGAGAGCCAATCGGATACCGGCTTTCTGCGCGTTTACTTAATTTAATTCTGGTTTAGTCATGTAATAAAAATGTTATTGAAAGAACTCCGTACGGGAGAATCTTTACCTCGCTCTTGAGTACAGACCTCCCTGTGTTTGATCTGTACTTAGGTCCTCTGTGCCACAGTTGATAAGAACTAATTCAAGACTGAAAGTCTATTATTACCCTCCATTCAGGTTATACAACAGTTGTATGATAGACACAACTTTGGGTTAAAAACCTCATATCTCATCCTCGACAAATGCCAATAACTCTCCCAAGAGTAAATTGACGGCTGCATGGAGTTATAAATATTCTTTAGCAATCTTTATGTATAAATCAGTAGAAATTTCAATTTAGAAACGCCTTCTTTTATTCCCTCAGCATTGACCCTGTTCAAAGTGCCGTGACGTCAGACCATGTAGATTCTGCACAGGTAAGCACTCACCCTTTTATGGAGTAATGTAGAGAGGTGTCCCCAATTAGTTTTTATTTGTAAAAACTAGTGAAACTGACACGGTAATAAAGTTATTATTATTATTATTATTATTATTATTATTTTTATCATTATTATTATTATTATTATTATTATTATTATTGCGGCACTCGCCTGTTTATAAGGGCAGTTCTTGTTGTGCAACAAAATTACTTCTAATGTAACTCCCAGAAAGGATATCGCAAAAAGTGAGCTTAAATGTTTATTGCTGGATAAGCAAAGATGGTGTTATTACGACTTTGTTTAGATCCGAGAACATGATGGCGGATTATTGTAAATAATGCTGAATGAGACGTAGTTAGAATTTCCGCCGCGTCAGGTACCATTTAGATCATTTAAGGTTGTAATTCTTATGAAAATTCCATGTGTTAAACCTGATCCGATATAAAACTACAGTTTTTT